TTCCCCCCGCTCCCGGGTCCCGCCGGAGCGCGCAGCTCGGGAACTTCGGGACCCAAAGCCCGCAGGCCGCAACCGGGTCCCCAAGGATCGTCCCGATCACCAGCGCCGCCACTGGAAAGGTCTTTGTGTTCTGGGTCCTGGATTCTTGCGAGGGCGGGCGAGAGGGAACGCAGTAAGGAGCCGCGCGAAAGAACGCAGGGGCTCCCAGGGCCCAAATTCATGGAAATGTCTTGGGGAAAGGGGGACTTTTTTTAACGCTTATACTAGCCCCATCGCAGGGCACCCCAGGGAGAATGGAGTCCCCGAGGAAAGGCGCTCCCTGACGTCTGCAAGGGCCTCCATGGCGCTTTGGCGCGATGCTATGAGGGCGCCCTCTCGCCCCCACCCCCTTTAACTCCCGACTTCTGGGAAGCAGTTGGCCATTCAGATGCGCATTTTGCCCAAAGGCACCCCCAGGAGAACCACGCATTCCAAGGCTGGGCTCAGGCTTGGGGGCAGGGAAGGTCTCAGAACCTTCAGGCTTTGGCTCTGGGGTAAGAGAAGGCTGTCCAGATAACCTTCTCCACCCCCTCCCTGAATTGTCCAATTCTGGCTTGAAAGCAGAGAAGACATTTCTTGGGGGGGAAGAAATCCAGACAAAAATCCGAAGCCGATAAATACGGAATCTGAAATCTGAAAAGCTCATTTATCTTTTTTTTTCCTTTTAGAAAAAATTTCAACTGTGTTCAGACCCCCACCCTCCCCCCAATCTCCCTTCACCATACCGCTTCTCTCCCCATGGCCCCAGAAGGCTTTTAAAACGCCGGTTTGGATGTTACCCAGACCAACCACCCAAACAGCAGCAACAAAAACAAAAACTCTCCCCCTTCTTCATCAGCCCCAAGATTGTGGAAATGACAGGAAGTCCAGGTTGGCTCTGGCATTTACAGCACTGACATGCATTCAGCCCAGAGCAGCTCTGGTGACAAGCTTTCTAAACAAGGCGCCCCCGATCGGGCCTGGAGTCCAGTGACCACCCCCTCGCACCACACCCTCCACCTACGCCGGCCAAGCCTTTTCTGGTCTGGGAAGGGAGGAGAAAAAAGACACAGGCCACCGGGGGGTTCTGCAGCCTGGGGTCGGTCCAGTTTTCTATCTCTCAGCTGCCTCTGGCTCCTGCCGTTTCAACCTTGCCTGCCCCTGAGGCATGAGGCGGCTGGCCGGGCCTTGATGGCAGTGAGTAGGGAGCAGCCATCTTGGCCCCAAGCCTGTCGTCCTGAGTCCCTCTCTCCCGTCAGCCCCAGATCTTGGGAAGGAGGAGGCTGGAACCCTGGTGGGTGCGGTCGATTCAGACACCGCTTCTGCCAGTCCCCATGAAGCCCGGGGGTCTCTTCCTGTCTCCCCCGTGGAAGGAAGGGGGCCAGACCCGAAAGAGTAAAAATCTGGGCGAATATCTTCCTTGAAGTCCCTGATCCCACTTGTCTTTCTCCTGGCCCCCATTTTCCTCCAAGAGCCAGGCTGGTGGGGGGCTGGGAGGGGAGGGGTCTTTTCTGAGGAGTCCAGCAGAGTCCACGCTCCTCATGGCTCAGCCTGGGATGGCCCTGTCGCTGCAGGCCACCGGGGGTCACTGGGTGACAGTGGGGTTTAACACCCCCGCAGCCGGCCCCAGGACCCCGGGGACAGAGCCAGGCACGGAGCCCTGCAGGGAAGACACGGGACTCAAGGGCTCCGGGACGCTTCTCAGGGGACCCGGCTGAGGCTGGGGGGGTGGTGGCGGCGGCGGCGGCTGGGCTGGGGGCGGCGGCGGCTGCTGCTGCTGCTGTTGCTGCAACTTTTTCTTGTTGATCTTTCTTTCCTTCGCTCTGCGGTTCTGAAACCAGATTTTCACCTGGAAATGGAAAGGTGGAGAGAAACAGAAGCAGTGAGGAAGACGTGAGGGAAAAGGGGTACAGGATCCGGCAGTATCTCAAGGCCCTCTTCTCAGACCGAAGGACCCCAGACCCGTCTAGAAGCATTCCCCGAAGATCCCCATGACTACCCAATGCTGAAGCCATTCCCAAGCCCAATTTAGCCTTGTGAGAAGAGTTTTCCTCCTTCCTGGCTCACCAGCATTCTTTCTTTTCTTTTTCTTTCCCCCTTTCCCTTTCTTCACCCCCTTTTTGTCAGTGTCTTTTTTTTTTTGGTTAGAGTCTCACTCTGTCGCCCAGACTTGAGTGCAGTGGCTGCTCCCGGCCACCGCGGCCTCGACCTGCTGGGCTCCGGCGATCCTTCAGCCCCAGCCTTCCAAGTAGTTGGAACTACAGGCGCGCACTACCACACCCGGCTAATTTTTGATTTACTGTAGAGTTGAGGTCTCGCCAAGTTGCCCAGGCGGGTCTTGAACCCACGGGCTCAGGCAATCCACTCACCTCAGCCTCCCAAAGCGCGGGATTACAGGCTGAGCCACCAAGCCCGGCTTGAGTCAGTGTCTTACTGTGTCACCGAGGCTGGAGTGCAGTGGCATGCTCACGGCCCCCACGGCCTCGACCTGCTGGCCTCAGGTGATCCTTCTGCCTCAGCCTTCCCAGTAGCTGGAACCACAAGCATGCGTCACCATGCCTGGCTCATTTTTTGATGTATGGTAGAGACGAGGTCTCGTCTTGTTGCCCAGGCTGGTCTCGAACCCCTGGGCTCAGGCAGTCCTCTCATCTCCACTTCCCAAAGTGTTGGGATGTCAGGCATGAGCCACCACACCCGGCTAGCTTTCTTTTCAAAGCAACTTTTATCTGCATCTTTACTGGAAAAGTTAAGAGTCTCAAAACCAAGGAAAACAGAAACTGTGAGGCCCTTTTTACACATGCGAGGGGAGACCGGTGCCAGGTGTACTTCAAATGACAACCTTTGGCCCCTCAAGTCTAAACCGAAATGTAGTATTCCTCACCTTGGAGCTGAACATGAGATTGAATGTGCGGCTTCCTTGCTGTGAATGCGCCCTGTGTTTTTTTCGTTTTTGTTTCCTAGACTATACATACAGAATGTTCATGAGCCAGGTCTTGTCCCTCTCGTTTTATGAGCAGAGATTGGGTATTTTGTTTCCCTTATTTTTCCTTAGGTGCAGTGCTAAAACAAAGTGAATAGGTCTTTAAGATGTCTTTATTGGCTCAAATGGAATTCTAGATTCAACTAACACGCTTGGCTTTCTCTTGAACTTCCTGGATCCCACAAAATAGAAAAAAAAAAAAAAATCAAAGAAGACTAGAGATAAAAACAGTGTTTTTAGAAAGTACTCCAGGCCTGGTGTGATGGCTCATGCCTGTAATTCCAAAACCTTGGGAGGCCGAGGCAGGAGTATTGCTTGAGTCCAAGAGTTCAAGACCAGCCTGGGCAACACAGTGATACCCTGTCTCTATTTTAAAAAAAAAAAAGAGCCGGCTCGCTGGCTTAACCTGTAATTCCAGAGCTTTGGGAGGCTGAAGTGAATGGATTGCCAGAGCCCAAAGGTTCGAGACCCACCTGGGCAACTTGGCGAGACCGCATTTCTACAATAAAATAAAAAAATTAGCCGGGTGTGGTAGTGCACGCCTGTAGTTCCAGCTACTTGGAAGGCTGAAGGGGAAGGATCGCCAGAGCCCAGCAGATCGAGGCTGCGGTGGCCAGGAGCGTGCCACTGCACTCCAGTCTGGGTGACAGAGTGAGATTCCAACTCAAAAAATAAAAAAAAATTTTAAAATTAAAAAATAGGCCAGATATGGTGGCTCACACCTGTAATCCCAGCACTCTGGGAGGCCGAGGCGAAAGGATTGCCTGAGCCTAAGCCTTCGAGACCAGCCTGGGCAACGTGGCAAGACCTCATCTCTACAATAAATCAAAAAATTAGCCAGGCATGGCGGCGTGCGCTTGTGGTTCCAGCTACTTGGAAGACTGAGACGGGAGGATCGCCTGAGCCTAGGAGGTCAAGGCTGTGGTGGCCAGGAGTGTGCCCTGCCCTCCAGCCTGGGCCACACAGTGAGACTCTGACTAAAAAAAAATAAAATAAAACAAAGTATTCCAAAGGTGAACTTTCTCATCCCAGTTTTAGTCTGCCCACAGAATTAGGAGAGCCCTGCTGCCAGGCTTTCCAACCCTTATGGCTTCCATACAGGTCGTGCCGGGCTGGGGAGAGCTGGGCGGTCCCCACCTGCCTCTCAGAGAGCCCCAGCGTGGCGGCCAGCTCGGCCTTCCTGCGGATGGTGATGTAGCGACTGTAGTGAAACTCCTTCTCCAGCTCCAGTCGCTGGTGGTCCGTGTACACCACTCGGTATTTGTCTTTCGTCCTGGTTTTCACTGCGGAGGAAGAAGGGAGAAATGAGGACCACAAGGCAGCCCATCAGTCATGGGTAATGACAAACCTCCCTAACCCAGGGGCCATTTCTCTTCCTCCGCCACCCTGGGGGGCCCGGGTTTGGCTGGTTCCTGCCAAGTCTGACACGACCCCCCAGAGGGTTCTGGGGGGAAGGGAGGGTGAGGTTAGCAGAGGGAGGCAGCTCAGCTAACCTTGGGGTTAAGTGGTTTTTAAAAATTAAGAAAAAACTGTAACCTCGTACCCACAGGATCTAGCAGGCCCCAACCACCTTTTTGATCAACCAGAGTGCTGGCACCCATTTGGCACCAAGGGAAAGAGGGCGGGGTGGTGTGGCCAGAGTCCCGGGAATATCCAGATTTCCAGACCTTGCAGAGATAGAAGCACACTCCGAAAACAGCCAGGGCCATGAGTATGTTTCTGAGGTGGTGGTAGGGACTGGAACAGGGGTTTCTTTCTGTTAGCTTTACCACAGATGGAAGGGGATGTGGGGGCTGGCGGGTTCCCTGAAGTCACCAGAATCATCCCCCAGACACGCCAGGCCCATGGGTGGAATTCCGAGCGAGCGGGAGCTTGGCCGTGGGAACCAAGGCCGGCCATCAGCGAACTCCTCTGGCTGGGGACAGGTTTGGCGTGTCTGGCACTATTTCTTTTTTAATCCTTCAGTTATTCCCCCCTGCAAACCCGACCAGGGCTATCCTGGCCGGTGATCTGTGCTCATTGGAGTGGGTCAACATATTAAATCCTGGATTGATTGTTTTACTGAAGAGCCTTGACAAATAGTGTCCACAGAGCTGGAGCAGGCCGGATCCCCGCGTTGCCCCAGCTGGGTCTGTCCTGGGTCACCCTTGGCAGGGCCGCCGGTCTCCAGCTCCCTCCCAGGCCAGGGTCTTCTTGTCACGGCACAGGTTCAACCGCCCAGTGCCCGGTCCCACTAAGAGATCAGAAGGGTCTTTCTGGGAGTTGCCCGGAGGTGCTTAATGTCCCACAGGCCGACTTTGTTCAGGTAAAACCCTTTGCAAACCACAACAAAAGCGCCCTGGGAAGATACAGGCCGGATCAGAGGGAGCTCCCCGGAGCCTCTGAAAGGGGAACACAGCCACAAACAATGCCGGACAAGGCGATCTTATCAAAGAAAAGCCCTTTCAATGCCTTAATAACGACCGCATTCTGTTTGAATTACCACTACTGAGCAAATGGCGGCCGGCTTTCATCCCCCTCCCGCCAGGGTATTAACATAAACACCGCCTGGCAGGCGCATTTGAATGGGCGCTGCGGCCCCGACCCCGCGCCTGCTAAGAAGCCAAGGGAACTCGCACGTCCGGGACCCTTCGCGGTGGGCGCGTCTGCACCGAGCGACCCCCTAAAGCCCACTCGAGGCCGCCGTGGGCGTTCGCCCCGTTTTACAGACGAGGAAACTGAGAACCAGACTGGGTCATGCACACGGGCTGGAACGGGAGCCCCGCCGGAGCCGCAAACGACACCCCAGGAGCGATGCTCGCCTCGAGGTACCTCGGAGCGGCCCCTGCTGCGGGGGGGGGGGTGCCCTTGCTGTGTCCCCAACGGACCCGGATCGCGGTGACCGGCGCCCCGTGCGCTCTGCGGCCGCGTCCCCGAGGGCCCCGGAGGCGCCCCGCACCCCCTGGGAACCAAGGAGGGGGCTGAAGGAGGGGAGGGCTGAGAGGGACTTGTCAGAATTCATTATTGACTGCGAAAGTCACCACCCTCTTTCCGGGCCCTAAAAAAGACAATGGCAGGGCTGGGAAGGTGTATATCAAAGCGGGTCGGGCCGCGGACCACCCCCCCCTTGACAGATGATGCCCGCAGAGGAGTCGGGCTCAGGCCCGCGGGCCGCGGCCTCCCTACATTAACATCACAAGGGTGCCCGGCGCCGACCGCGGCCTTGTCACCTCGGCGCAGGACTTCACAGCGACCTCTCATCCGCTGACCCCGCGGCCTGGGCTCCGGCGGCTCCCTTCCCTCCCCCCCCCCACCGGCCC